GTGAAAGTAATCGCTGAACCCGAAGTGTGCTTGCTACACTAGATGAGGACAGAGAAGTAGAGTGAAAGTAATCGTGTAGCAAGCACACTTCGGGTTCAGCTAGATGAGGACAGAGAACTAGATTGAAAGAAGTATTCGAGATGATCAGCTAACTTTTGTTTAGTAGTTATAATAAAGAATAAAGGACAATGATGTCAGGGAATCTGGAATTACTGAAAAAATAAAGAATTAACTGTTTACTATTTGACTTTTGTAAAAACCACCATGAAGATGAAATGAATGGAATATGTCCGAGTATAGAATTAGAGGGATATGAAAAAAAAGAAACTTAAGTTTGAACTTTTGTTAACCGTGGGAACCTGTTCATTACTGAACTTGTAAAGTATGCTATATAAACATACCTTAAATTTGTTGAAATAATGCAAGGATAAGATGGTGAGTGGAAATGAATGGAATATGTCCGAGTATAGAATTAGAGGGATATGAAAAAAAAAGAAACTTAAGTTTGAACTTTTGTTAACCGTGGGAACCTGTTCATTACTGAACTTGTAAAGTATGCTATATAAACATACCTTAAATTTGTTGAAATAATGCAAGGATAAGATGGTGAGTGGAAATGAATGGAATATGTCTGAGTATAGAATTAGAGGGATATGAAAAAAAAGAAACTTAAGTTTGAACTTTTGTTAACTGTGGAACCTGTTCATTACTGAAACTTGTAAAGTATGCTCTATAAACATACCTTAAATTGTTGAAATAATGCAAGGATAAGATGGTGAGTGGAAATGAATGGAATATGTCTGAGTATAGAATTAGAGGGATATGAAAAAAAGAAACTTAAGTTTGAACTTTTGTTAACCGTGGGAACCTGTTCATTACTGAACTTGTAAAGTATACTATATAAACATACCTTAAATTTGTTGAAATAAAACGAGGATAAGATGGTGAGTGGAGGCTATTTAAAAGATATATACATTGCTGTAACGTATGGTAAACTATGGTATTTAGGTTTTACCTCCCTCGTACATATAACAAAACCTTCTTATATGTATGAGCTAATTATAGAACTGTGGGAACCACTGATATCGTCAAGTTCCCTTTCAGTTAAACCGATTCAGAGAAGAGGCAGCAACACAGAGAATATCACGGTTTTACATACTGTGGGAACCACTGATATCGTCAAGTTCCCTTTCAGTTAAACCTATTCAGAGAAGAGGCAGCAACACAGAGAATATCACGGTTTTACATACTGTCTAATTTCTTCTACTAAATTACAGACTGTTTGTGAACCAAACTCTTCACTAATCAGAACGGTCCAACAACCACAGAAGAGATATATTCACTAATCATGATATTCATTGATCATGTATCGACAAACTCCAGAATAATCTTGATCATCACAAATACTGTAATAAGATAATGTAACACAGCAGTATCCAAACACTCCAATCAAATTTGTCTTTTTTAACTCAAGAAAGCACAAGCCAGTGAATAAATACTGGATTACAGTATAAAGAATACGCTGGGCTGTAATCAGATAAACTTTTAGGTGCTGTATACAAAACCTAGCTTACAAATATCTGTAATCTTAATACAACTACTGTTTCTCAAAACACAGAATCATATTTCAGCATCAGTCCTCAAGACACTGTGTTAGTAGTTAATAACCAATTTTATTATTTAATAATAATATTAAGATTTTTTGCATTCCTGTACTTGAATAGAAGTTTATAAACAGACAATATAATTGTTTTAGAAACCAGGTCTCACTATGTTTCTTAAGAAATGTTACAACCTAGTAGAATTAGTCTAATATATAACAAAATAAACTTGATATAATTATACAGTAAAGTCACAGCAGACCAGTCAATAACTTAATACATGGTGTATACGAACAAAGTTGCAGAAATATTATCAATTTTTGTATAAACTTACAAACAGTGACAGAAAACTAATGATTTTACTGAATCCTATAAATTCAATTATTCACTAAATAAATAAAAATCAACAAATTCTATAATTTAAAAATTTCCAAAACTTTTTATAATAGTTTAAGCCTTTACCAAGAAAAAATACTTAACAACTGTTTAACTAACTATCCCAGCAGGTGGTGTTAATTTGTTTACTTTCTTTGTTAAAGAAAACTGTTGTGGCCTTGTTGATAGAAATGCTAGTTTTATCAGATTTAAATGTTAGTTCTCCCAATCACTGCTCAACCTTAGTTTCTAACTGATGAATTCTCCCAATCACTGCTCTACCTTAGTTTCTAACTGATGAATTCTCCCAATCACTGCTCTACCTTAGTTTCTAACTGATGAATTCTCCCAATCACTGCTCTACCTTAGTTTCTAACTGATGAATTCTCCCAATCACTGCTCTACTCTTCCCTCTAGAAAGGTAGTTTTATGTACAATATCACGGTCTAGTATTTTACAACACCAACTGTGGGTTACTGTAAATCAGATAGGTAGTTTTATGTACAATATCACAGTCTAGTATTGTAGAACACCAACTGTGGGTTACTGTAAATCAGATAGGTAGTCTTATGTACAATATCACAGTCTAGTATTTTAGAACACCAACTGTGGGTTACAGTAAATCATAAGATTATGTATTTTTAACACTTGGAAAAGGAAATTATATACACATTGTTTTTGTAAAAGTTTCTGCTTAAGTCTTCTTGCAAATTCTGAAACCCTTTTTAAGCAAGTTACTAGATGAGGTTCCAGTTAAAATCATAATGATTTAACAGACAATTTTCCAGATCTTAGTTAAACAATAATTACTGAACTTCACAAGCAATATTTTTCCTTTCTTAAAGAGATGTTTCAAGGTTTGCCAAAGAAATGTAACATGAAAATAACTTCCATAATATATATTGTTACATATCGTACTTCAATGTTAAAACTACGAACCTAACTTCAAGTATAAAACACATTTTATTGAGATTTCACAATGTATCAAATGAATTACAATAAAAGAAAATTATCCTCATCTGTACGTATTTGTACAATAACATTAAACTGACCAGGATTCAATTTATTTTTGCATCAGCTCAGAACAACTGTATTTACACATCAGTTATAACGTCACGACTAGCAGTACTACAAACACGTATGTAATAACTCCAAAACTTACTGATAAATTGGGCTAATATCAACATATATTTGAGACAAGCAACAACTGAATTTCCAAGTAAACATAAATCAAAAACTTTCTCATAAAATAAATTTACTGAAAAAGCAGGAAGTATGTATAAAATAAACAACATTTACCAGAATTATAAAATATGTATTTCAAATTAACTTGATTTTTTTCTTCTTCACCAGCATATCTTTCCAGAACTTTAGGTTCTAAATTACTTCTTTATATACGATTCTTGAAAAAAATACACCCGCTGAAAAACTGGTTATCAGTACTATGGAAACTGATTGATCCCTTCAATTCTGATCTTCACACATGCTGTAGTCTTACTTCAATGTCTCAGCATCAACAGCATGATTAGACAGTCCATGTAGTCCTTATATGATACAGTAAGCTCCACATTGTCCACCTTCATGTTGTAATGCACTATCACTTAGCTTTAAGTGTGATGCTTTGTCCGTCTCCCACAATCCTGGAGTCTGAATTATCTATAGTTTCACAGGAAATACAGTTACCTACGGTTGAGATAATACTAACAACTATTACTAACGTCCCGACTACATAATATTAACAATACTTCTAAAGTAAAAAATAACAAATCAGTGCAGTTGCTTATTAGGCCTAATATTATTTTAATAATAATATTAAATGTTGTTATTTCTGATCTACACATAATTTGTACCATCATTAATGTTATTATTTCTGATCTACACATAATTTGTACCATCATCAATGTTATTATTTCTGATCTACACATAATTTGTACCATCATCAATGTTATTATTTCTGATCAACACATAATTTGTACCATCATCAATGTTGTTATTTCTGATCTACACATAATTTGTACCATCATCAATGTTATTATTTCTGATCTACACATAATTTGTACCATCATCAATGTTATTATTTCTGATCTACACATAACTTGTACCATCATTAATGTTATTATTTCTGATCTACACATAATTTGTACCATCATCAATGTTATTATTTCTGATCTACACATAATTTGTACCATCATCAATGTTATTATTTCTGATCTGCACATAATTTGTACCATCATCAATGTTATTATTTGTACCATCATCAGTGTTTTTATTTGTACCATCATCAGTGTTTTTATTTCTGATCTACGCATGTCTTACAAAATTCTTAAAGGTAAAAATAAAATAACAAATTCATACTTTTTCAACTAGTTCCTCGAAGGCACACTGAACTCCATCTCGAGTTTTAGCACTAGCTTCGATAAACAGCATGGAATGTTTTCTTGCATATTTAACTCCCTCTTCTCTGGTGACCACTCTAGTCTCCTTTGTAAGAATTAAAAATGTAAAGAAAACTAAAATATACAAATAGAAAATCTAGTTACTGGTTACTAAAATAATAAAGTGCCCTGCTAAAAGTTCCTAACGTGACCTACAGGAGTAAACAGTAGGTAATAGAAACAGGAGAAGCATCAAAGTGTTTATATACTAAAGCACTGTTAGATGCTTAATGTCTACGAGAGGAGAGATTATAAAAACCAATATCTAAAACAGTGACAACACCAGCAACAATTCATACTGATTTACTGTGGCTATATATGAACAAGGACCACTGAAAAATTCTATGTAGTGTGTGCTCTGTTGATGTGGGTTCTTGGAAAGGCCAGAAATACATAAGCCACAAATCATCTCAAGACTGCTTGGCAATAAAATAGCCTCATATTGTTATGTATTTATAAACAAAACCTGCACAACATGAATTTATATTTTTGAAAAAATGTGCTGGGATATACAACAACAACTTGGCATTTAACAAATCTTAGATCATTCCTTACTTACAACTGTTTTAACTGTATGAACTTGATATGTAGCTACTACATATATCTGCTATTTTAGATGTGATATCTGTATGAATTTGATATGTAGCTTCTACAAATATCTGCTATTTTAAATGTGATATCTGTATGAACTTGATATGTAGCTACTACAAATATCTGCTATTTTAGATGTGATATCTGTATGAACTTGATATGTAGCTACTACATATATCTGCTATTTTAGATGTGATATCTGTATGAACTTGATATGTAGCTTCTACAAATATCTGCTATTTTAGATGTGATACTTGTATGAACTTGATATGTAGCTTCTACATATATCTGCTATTTTAAATGTGATATCTGTATGAACTTGATATGTAGCTACTACATATATCTGCTATTTTAGATGTGATATCTGTATGAACTTGATATATAGCTACTACATATATCTGCTATTTTAGATGTGATATCTGTATGAACTTGATATGTAGCTACTACATATATCTGCTATTTTAGATGTGATATTTGTATGAACTTGATATGTAGCTTCTACATATATCTGCTATTTTAGATGTGATATTTGTATGAACTTGATATGTAGCTACTACATATATCTGCTATTTTAGATGTGATATTTGTATGAACTTGATATGTAGCTTCTACATATATCTGCTATTTTAGATGTGATATCTGTATGAACTTGATATGTAGCTACTACATATATCTGCTATTTTAGATGTGATATCTGTATGAACTTGATATGTAGCTTCTACATATATCTGCTATTTTAGATATGATATCTGTGTGAACTTGATATGTAGCTACTACATATATCTGCTATTTTAGATGTGATATCTGTATGAACTTGATATGTAGCTTCTACATATATTTGCTATTTCAGATGTGATATCTGTATGAACTTGATATGTAGCTACTACAAATATCTGCTATTTCAGATGTGATATCTGTACGAACTTCATATGTAGCTACTACAAATATCTGCTATTTCAGATGTG